AATGAGAGACAGAGTCACGTGTCCTTCCAGCATCAGTCCAGATAAAATAAAAGTGATACATCGACATAATCAAATTGAAAAGACTCGCGAGGAGAATATATCATCGTCGAAAATTAGGAGAGTGTAACTTCGAATTGTACCCCATTAACGTATTCGAGTTGCTCTTCGCGAAATTAGATTTGCTGCAGTTCAAACTGCAGGCGGACATAGTATTCCGATATAATTCAGAGGGACGAAATATGCGAAATTACCGTCATTATCCAACGACAGATGCTGACGGTGCAACATACATGTGAAACTTCTAGCGAGCTAATCGATTTCAATCCGAAGTTCGGTCTGCAAATTCCGACCACCTGTTTATGGGAACGGTGATTACCGAATGAAATTACGTGCACCTGTACGCACGCAGTTGAAGTGCATGCATACATTAATGCATACCTATCCTACCTTCCAGAGCCGTCCGAACTTCCTCGCGGACCTCCGGGTACACTCGGTGCCAGCCTCGGTACCGAGAGGGACATCGATTTTCTGCCGAGCGATTCGATGTTCATACCCGACCTGCCGCATGAAGATCATTGGTGTAAACACGAGGCGGCCATGCGCGCGTGTGGGGAGGTTTCGGATAGACCGAGAGCGTCGTGCTCTCGTCGCCACCCTCGCTCTCCCCCCAGAGTACACAGTCGCGCGGATCCCTTTGCATGGCGGATGAGTTTAGATTGATATTGGCTGGCGAATGGATTTATCTAAAATTAGAGTCCCCGTGCCGTCACACAAGCTTACGGTACGTCTCGACTCTCGCGTACTGATACAGTCCGACACACTGATACAACGTCGCGCTAAAGTTAGAACCAGTTGTCTTTGTCGATATCGTGATATTCGATGACGCCGGTGTATTTTAACTTCGGCGTATCGAGGAAGCGATTTAAATCCATACCACTTGTCACGAATGCAATTCATTGCAATCTCACATAGGTATAACATACCTATACATTTCAACAATCATTTACAAAATTTAACTATACGAGACGTTTTATTAAATCATTTTTGTTTAGACCCAGGCAGACACACATACATACGCGCGCGCGCGCAATTTAATTTTGTAAATGATTATATTGCATCAACGTCGCTTTTCTCACCGATTTTAAAATATTCAGGAAAGTCTTACGTTTAGAAAATTGAAATTGCCGAATTCGACAAGTAGGGGCAGAAGCATCACGGCCAATAAGAAGGGCCAGGCATGGCCAGAAGTTCTCGAATCTTGTAGCTCCTCCGAGACATTTCTCACGGGACGAGCGAGCGGACGATTAGATTTCGACCTGCAGTTTCCTAGATTTCTCATCGATTCCAAAGGGTGTGGGGAAGGGGAAGGGCACTACGCCCTCGAGGCAAATCACTTTCATCCTTCGATTTCTTTCATCTAGAAACTTAGGCCAATTTCGACGTGTCGCATCGGGAAAATGTAGGTCGAGGTGGGTGGTTTTTTTTCCTCTCCCTTTCCGCGACATAAGAAAAAAGATGAAAGCACTGAGGGGATGAAAGAGCCTGTAGAGTTAGAGGATCGTGTTAACAATAGGAAGGACGGATGCAAACAAGGATCCCTCGCTAGATGTTGCTATGGATTATGTCGAGGGTGGATTAATGTGATGAGGGAACTTTGATGGAAATTCATTTATTTCTAATGAACTTAGGCCATGATTTAACTTAGAAGGCTTTAAAAATAGCCACAGCAAAAGAGGATTAACGGATACTATGGCAATTCTTGCTCGCATTACCGTGAACGTTTGCTTAACAACAATTGTAGAAGCGGCAATCTTCATAAAGTTTAATAGCCGACGGCGTCGTAGCTCGCGTTCGATTAACCAGGTACCGCATGAATTTCAAAAGAAAGCATCACGTCTCGTTGCAGTTTCAGTGTACTCTCAGTGTAAATGAGAGTTGGATGGAGTTCGTAGAATTCTAAAGCCACGTCTCCGCGGGCTTCGTCGCCTCGACTCGCGAACGCATTTATAAAATACAGACGTGACATTTATGATAAACTATCCGTGCCATTCCAAACATTTGCAATCACATTAGCACTTCGATGAAACTATTTTTAACAATGCCACGCGCGACATAAAATTATTTTTTTTCTCTCTATCGCTCTCCTCATTTTTAAAGTTTACGCTTTAATAACTAACTTGAAGTGTTTCTTATAACATTCGTCGTTACTGCAAAAGATTTAACAATTTATTCATTATCATAAATTACTTATCAGATATTTTTCGTAAAATTCGGTTCTGTCATTATCTTTTATGCAGAATAATTTGAAATTATCCTATCTTTAAACTCTTACTGTTAGATTTAACTTAGATTCGCTGTTTTCTTACTAAAGTTTTAATTTTAAATCTATTCGTTAATTATTTGCAGCTTTTCTAATTTCTATCTATAATTACAAAATTAATCTTGGTAATTATTAAATCTTACATTCCAATTTCACGAAATATAAGTATAGAATATAATTATTGTCTCGATCGGTACATTGAGAATAAGTACTTAAAAATTTATTTGTGCGAAAGCATTTATTTTTTACACTAAAATAAAAATAAATATTTATTTTAAGAAATAAAATTGAGATGTATTTCAGAGAAAAGTACGTTTTGTCATCACAATTTTTCTCATAACTAATAAATATCGCAGAAAACGTCTCATAGGTAACATTCGCTTTGCAATACTCGACATTTCTCTCTGGACCTTAGAATATTATATTATTATTCAGTACGATTTGGAAAAGACATTTAACAGCAGGAAGTGATAGAAAAATGTTTATACTTTTAGTACAGCGGAATGTTGCGAATACATTGGAATACTCCTCGCAAAAGACGACGGATTTCATGAAAGGCACTTTCATATCAACAAACTTTCGCGCGAATTTTACAGACCCGTAAAATACATTGGTTTTCTTTATGTCCGCCCGGCTGGTTCGTTAAGTGTAGCTATTTAATAATTTACGGTTAGCATTTCTCTGCCGGAAACGCTTCCCGGACGACGAAACCGCCACAACCGGGACGCCGTTATGCCGCGAACATTCATTTATTTTCAGCGACCGAATATTCTGCGATTCCGAGCGAATAATCTACGGCGGCGCGATTTACGGGCCTTCGTGACCGAGTTCTCCTGCCTAAACAGATCGATACTCGCGAATGGTGGCGACGTGAATTACTTTATTATCGGCTCTCTCTCTTTGCGAAAATATACCGAAAGAAAAAACGCATTAACGCACGCAATATTCTGACATTTTGAAATATGATAAAATACGTACATTTTTATCGATACTAAAAGCGCGGCGAGAAGAAAAAAGTGAGAAGAGAGCGAATGAGAAAGGAAGAATTCCACCCCTTTCAAGTCCTCCATTTTCCGCTCTTATTGCGGGTCTATCCCTTCTCGACACGGTTTTCGTCTGAATATCCTAGAGCTTTGCTCCCGCAGTCTCGCTCTCCGCTTTTTTCTCTTCTAATGACTGAACAGTCTGGCCGTGACAAGTATATCGACCGTTCTCTCGCCATCATTGTCTTCCTCCTTACCTAACGCACTCCACCCCGTCAAAAGAAATGCCACTAATGCGCGTGGTAACACTGGAATGCCGTCGAAACGAGTGCATCAATTCTCTCGTAGCTGCTACTTCGGCAGTGGCGAGTAGACAGACGTGTATCCTGTGTTTACCTTCCAGTTAGAAAAAGTTAATATTGAAACTTTGAAAACTTGTGCAGCACATTGAATTAAATTCACAAATTTTAAAATTTCACTTTTCTCAGTGAAAACTTATTTACAAACAAACTTTGAATGTTTGTACACATTCGTTGTGTATTCGTGTACACACCAACTACACAACAAAAATTGTAAAAATTTTAAAGCAATTAAAGGACGATGAATAAATTGGGTCTTGGCTTAAAAGGTGTAACGTATAAATTAATTTTAATATTTTTTATTTTGGATCGTTAGTTGCGATTATCAATTTATCTGTCAACCTAGGAAAATAATCAAAATTCACGTTAAAATGATTATTTTAAATATTAATTCAGATAACTTTGTTTTAATTATTTATATTTTTATCTTTTTCGCTAAAAACCAAGAAAATAGATATTTGAAAATAAAACACTTTGAAAATGATAAATGTAACAAACGATGGCTTCATTCATACAGAGAAACTTTTTTAAAGTGTTTTACTTTCAAGTGTTTGTCGTTATTTCCAGTAAAAAAGTTATAATACTGTAGTACAAGTAATTAAATAATTGAAAAATCGTCACTAATCAAATTACCATTAAAAATGATCTCTTTAACGTGAATTTTGACTTTCTCACGAGTTTAGATGAATTAAAAGTATTACTATCCACAACCCAAAAAAAACAAGACATGTAAAACTTATTTTATGTAAAACTTTTTAGACAAAAATCGGCCCATTTCATCCATCATTCTTTGAATTCAAAACCTGAACCACTTATATATCTATATTTCACCCTTGAAGATCTCGTATATATAGTACTAGTATCTTCCAGTAAGGCTACGCCTAAATTAGGATGACGATGCTTCAATCGATTTAAAGTTGATTACATCACCGATCGCTGATTATCCAATCGGCTCCTACTCGTAATCTCTCCTCAATTGCAGCAAGTGGGGAAGAAGAGCGAAAGAAAGAATCTTTCTCTATTAAGTCTCGATGTAACCAGATTGCCAAATCGAAAAGAATCCTTAGAATTCTCGAGCCGCGCTGGAGGATCTCCTTTTTTCCTTTCGTCCTATCGCGCGTTCCTTCCTCTTCTTTTAGCCTAAAATTCTTCTCTACATCGTCGTGCATCCTTGCCTTTGTGCTCGTCTATTTCCGCCAGCCTCGTACCTACCCTGGCCTTTTCTCTGGTCACGCAATCGCTCTTGCGGGAATTTTCCAGACTGTAAATTGCAAAAGTTCTAACGCGACTTTTAGGATATCACATCTCTAAGCCCAGCCTTGTTTCTTCTTGTTTCAGATCCTGAGACGACCCCTGGGATCCTAACGCGCTCTGAGGGTAAGTTTCAGTTAATAATACAGAGGTTCATCAAGATTGACCTCTAAAGATGATAATCGCTTTAACGTAGATTGAATTTGGAAATTGTTCGCAGTTCTCTTAATGGGGATCTGCAATTTTAAGCAAATGTGTGCGGACTTTGATAGAAACACGGAATGACTATTAAATTATATCCGTGTTATTCTAGATTCGATTTCATTTCGGATGCACACCGTGTGTACAAGTAAATCTTCAGCTGATCTAATTATTTTGTGTAAAAAATGATTTAAAAACTCGCTGCGGTTCGCGGAATGTAGCACACACTGAAAGAACAATTTTGCTGAAGTATCTAAAAATTTATCTAGATACAGATTTGAAAATAATTTTGTTTGTACTTTCAAAATAATTACGTAGGATGCTCAAACTAAAATAGTAACTCTGTAACATTGTTTATCATACTTGAGATTCGTACGTAATCATTTTAATGTGGTCCAATAAAATTATTCAGATTTAGAAATAATTTAGGTCTTATTAATTTCTACGCTTCGGTTCACTTCAACGAGACAATCGGCGTAACATTGAATTATTCGATTAACTACAAAGAATCTGAAAATTTTATAAAGGACGCGGGAAAAACTGTTTTCCACCGTTTGACGAACGTGCCTCTCGTCTGTATACTTCGCGAACACTCGATCGTATCTGAAATTTATCGAGGTAACAACAAGCAGCGCAACGCCACGGAGCGTCTCCTTCTCCCGGAGCCCTCGAAAAGTTCGCTCGTTCTTGTAAAGTGCTCGAAACAATTCCGACGCGAGCCGGCATTCGACGGCGTCGCTTTTGTATCGAGAGAGCTGGAACAGCGAAAGTTTTTGCATTCCATTATCACGCGGCGGCGATTTATCCTACTCTCAGGATATGCAACATTTACGTTCGTTCTTTGTGTTGCTATCGTAAAAACGTTTCCGATGAAATATAAAGAATAAAACGAGATCTAACAGAAATGTTTTTCAAAGAATTCGTTAATAACTAAGATTCATATTTGTTGCTTTAAAAGGGTAATAATCTTCTTCGCTAAAAATAACGACTTTTCCCCGTAAGTGTATTATACCTTTTAAACATTTAAGTGTTTTTAATTTCAAAGTTAAAATTACAGTTCCCTTGCGAAATATTCCTACGTACATAATATCGCTGTGAACCCAATTTCGTATTTTTATGTAAATCACCTACGATCGAAAATGATCGAAAACGAAATTGTTGCTTCGAGCACTGGCTCTGATCGAAAGGTACCTATTAATATTTTTGCGAAGCTGGACCGTGAAATTTGTGGCCTAATAGTTCCTTTGATCGCGCGGCGAATCACGCAGATGTGTTATTAATGTCTAGTTTCCACTGCATATGCATACGCCATATTAATTCGAATACGCGCACTTTGCTATTGAGGGTCACATCGGAGCGCGAATGAACGTATATAATTAAATTTGCTATCAAAAAGAACGTATATTAAATTAAAAAATGAATATTACTTCACTCTGAAATACTGTCAGTGCGGATCTGGCGTAAACAGAAGAGTAAACACAAAATTAAAATGCGCACAGCTGTGTAAAAATTTTATAACGCTCTATTTGCGATGCGTCGCACCCGCGGCGACGTTATCGCATCCACATGCAGCTGCCTAAATATAGGAACCTTCGGGGAAAGATTCGCAAAATTACGTGGCGCCGACGACACTCCACTTCCTCAGCAAGGATGAATAAATTAAGAAAGGAGCTATACTTTGCTTTCGACGGGTGAAGTCCCGTGCGTGCTTAATTAAATTTAGCACCGCACTTGGCGCGGACTCGCCTTCGGCTACCATTTTCTCCCCTGATGTTCCACGACGGCAGAAAATAGTATACACTCGGTGAAGATATTATGGAAATGTTTGTTTACCTCTCTCTCTCTCTCTCTCTCTCTTTCTCCCTCTCTTTACACACACGTACGCACACATATATCTTTTCTCGAGAAAGAATGAGATATATTATACACCCGCAGTTCGAATACTAAAACGATAAAAATCTAAATTATATCATATCTCGCTATTTTTCGAAAAACGCGAATTACATGAAGCTATGAAGTGAAGTCTCCAAATTTCGCCCTCGGTGCTCGATTCTTACCCCCTTAGTCATCACGATCGGTATTGGAAAACAAGCGCATTCGATGATGATCTTACATTCTGACCACGCGTCGCTTTCTAAAGTTACGTTCGACAAAGATAATATAGCGATACACTTGCTCGAAGTGCCTCCAGTCTTTTATATCGGAATACATACGTTGACGAAGAAAGAAGAATAATATATTTTTATGATCCAGAGTTTATCCAATGTCGGCAGCTAAAACGTGATTTAATTCCGTCTTTTAATCACGGTTGATGACAGGAAGGTCTCATAAAACTGAACGTCATCCCGAGACAAAACGTAGTTTCTCCCCTTCTAGCGCGACCCGTTGGCTTTAAAAGACAAACCCTAAGTTCTTCTATCTGTGGTGGTCTATGTAAACTGGACTCTGTAACGAGTTTTCTCTGCGCCCAAATTGGCGTAAATCGAAATGAAGTTATCAACGATAGCAAAGTCATTTTAAAGTTAACCGCGACTTTGAAGTAGCGGTAAAATAATTAATAGGGAGATAATTAATTAGTAGAAGATATATGTATTTATTAAATTAATTTCGTACAAATTTTCTAATTTAAGTTAAATCAATGCCTCGACTTTGTATTTTATTCAGTGGCATTTCTTAATTTTTATGGATATATTTAAATTTATTGGTAGATTATCTTTTAATGTTGAATGCAATTCGAGCAAATGTTTGGAAAAGTAAGTTTAATCTCCCTATGAAAGCTGTGAATCAGAAACTCCAAAATTTTAGGTTTTATTCGTACGCAGCACTCCACGTGCGGCTTGTGCGATATCCCCACGATTTTCACAGTTTTCCTCCGTGAAATAAGCGTCTTTGAGATAGATTTTTGTCGAGATAGGGAAAAACATCTCGACCAAACAAAAAAAACAATCTTGTACAATAGTCCATGTGTAAGGTAAGAAAAAACCGTGGGAGAAAAGCCGAGAAAATAGAAATAGGTTAAAGGTGGGGCGACAAGGGATGGCTGCCCCGGGGTGTTCTTGGTAAATCCTTACGCTCCTGAATGCCACCCTTCCGCCCTCCCGATCAATATTGAGAGTTGGTGGGGTCGAGGCAGGATGGTCGGCTGCGAGGAGCGGTAGGGGGTTGTGTAGCAGCGGAGGGTTGAAAGTAGGCAAGGGGCAACGAGGGGTGCGTGGTCGCGGTAGAACCGGTGGTATCAGCGGGTGCAGGGGTAGATGTGAGGTGCATGTGTAGCAGGGGATATCTGACGGTACGAGGGTAGGAGGGTGCGGCGACCGTGGGGGGGGGGGGGG